ACCATTTTCTTTTAGGCATTTGAAATCCATAATGCAGTTACAGGTATATCTAGTTTTACTCTGCTGTGCTCTATTGTGCTCCTCACATATTGTGTAGTTTATGAATTGAAGGTAAGACCTTCCACCAGCAAAAACATTAGGACCACTGAAGGCTCAGAGGGTGGTTAGCATTTTTTAGCAATAATTATTTTTAATTAAGATATGTACATTGTTTTTTAGACATAATGCAATTGCACACTTAATAGACTATAGTGTAGTGTAAACGTAACCTTTATAGGCCCCAGGAAACTAAAAGTTCACATGATTCGCTTTATTATGGTGTCCTGGAACCGAATCTGCAGTATCTCTGAGGTAAGCCTGTAGTAAGGCCTTCACAACTTAGATTATAAAGGAATTCTTTTATTGTTTCTTTTAGTACTTATTATTTATTTTTATAGCTAAATATTTGGTCCATTTACATTTTATCCTCAAGTGAAGTGTGAAGATTAGGTACTACTTTTCTTCCCAGTTGTCTAGTCAGTTGTTTCAAAACCATTTACTTAGTTGTTCATTTCCCCCCCATTGATTGATTATCATTATTAAATTTCAATATGTATTGGGGTTTATTTCTGTAATTTTATTCTGTTATTGCTTTATCTCTTTTTCATATGCTAATATGAATAATTCATGCAGTGATACCACTGTTTTAATTGTGATAGCTTCACAATGTTTAAAAATAATCTATGGCTAGTTACCCCTTTATTTTTCTTGTCAATTTCAAACATTTTTTGGTCAATTTAATTATCTCTATAAAATTTAGCATTAGTGTTCCTAATTTAAAAACTTGTTGGTACTTTTATTATAACCATGTTAAACTTTTATGTTAATTTAGAAATGAATACATATTTATGAAATTGAGTTCTTTAAAATCTAAAAGCATTATATACCCTTCTGTTCGTTCCAAGTTTCCCTTTGTGTCCCCTAGAGAGCTTAAAATACATTTCTTCTTATAGATCTTGCACATTTTTGTTCCTAGGAATCTTATCTTTTCTTCTTTCCCCTGTTGTAACTGGTGTCTTTATTTCTTCATTATGTTTCTTAACTGGTTGTTTATATATGCATATAATTTATTTACATCTATATATTTATTTTTTTGAAACATGCTATTTATAAAAATTTAAAAGTATATGCTTATTATAATATAGGGCAGTGCTGCACAGTGGGGGTCTGATGTCTATGAACTTGGCTGCACCATTGATTAGCCCTGTGGCAGTAGATAAGGTACTTAATCTTTATAAGCCAATTTTCTCATGTATCAAATGGGATAATAATAGTACCTACCTCATAAGGAACTTTTGAGGATTGAAAAGATCAAGCACAAAGACACTTAGAAGGGTTTCTGGAATGTAGTGAGCAGTTTTGTGCTCTTACATTGAAGCTCAAATCTAGTGCATGGGAGTCAGATGGAGAACAGATGTCAAACTTCCCAACCAGTCCCTCCAGCCACACTCCTCAATTTCTAAACAGTGCTGGACTGAACTGAGGGCTGCAGAGTGGGTGGGGGAATTAGGGGAATGGAGACATAAGTCTAGAGACCCAATTATACCTTGTTGTAGGAAAGGAATAAAATGATTTGGTGATTTGCATTTGGGGTGTCCAAGGAGATTGGAGGAGATACATGTTAATGAATGAAACAGTGGAAGTGAACAGAGCACTTTTTCAAATTGCCACCTTAAATTGAAAGGGTCTTGATAGCTTATAGGCCACTTAAATATACTTGTATCATAAACCCATCTTGGCAGCAGCTCACTCAGTCTATGAGAAACATGAAATCACACGGAGTAAATGGGTATTGGGGAAGCCAGGTCCAGATCTGCTGATGTATGTTGATGCTCATTCCTCTTCATTTCTCTTTCCTTGTCATTTATTCCCATCTGAGTCCAAGTACTAAATTGTCAGCAGAAAAAACAGCGGACAAACTGGAAGAAGGGGAAACAAGAAGGATTAAAATATTTTGAGAGGAGAGAGCCTAAGGGAGCTTGGGAGCTGCAATGAAGAATAGTATTTGCTGAATATACTATGTGCAGAAATTCCTGGGAACTATGTTAGGAATACTATGATAACTAACAGCAACCATGTCTTAAGTGTCTATTGTGTGCTGCCTGTTTTATGTGCATTTTTTCTTTTATTCTTAATCTTCCAAGCCAGGTGTTATTATGCCAATTACACCACGTGTCTCTAGAAAGCCAGGCCTCAGTCTTCTTGGAGCTTAACATCAATATACTAATTAAAGAATACTTGTAAAACACACCTACAGGCCTGGACATAGGAGCTCCTGATCATGGCAGAGCTGGGAGGGAATTGTGAAGAAGTTAGCCACAGCCAATGGGGTGAGCTTCCAAGAAATGTGAGGTGAGCAATGAAAGGAGGGACTTTGTTTTTATATGTGTAATAGGAAAGGAGGGAAAGAAACAGGATGGGTAAGTTAATGGGCAAGGAAGTCTTCCTGCAGCTGCAGTTAGGAATGCGGATGGAGTGTGGACTAAGCCAACTGCAGTGGAAAGGGATGCCCAGAGGAGGCTGCCTCTAAGTAGGAAAATGCTCCATCAGCTACTTAGCCTGTTCTCCCATTGCTGCATTGCTTTTTAAAGTGACAATCACGAGGGTTCAGAATTCTTTTTTTTATTGCTTAAAGTATTACAAAGGGTATTACATATGTGTCCTTTTTTCCCCCCGCCCTTGACAATCCCCTGGCCTCCCCTATCCCCCATTGTCTTATGTCCATTGGTTATTAAGTGGAAATGGGCTGGGATCATCATTGGCCAACAGTCTAAAATCAGTTCAAAAGAATGTGGTGGGAGACAGCTGGTGGAAATTGCCTGTCCTGCCTTCAGTGGAAATATCCACGTGCTGCTTGGTTGTCTCCTGATCAAGCGTCTCCCCCTCTCCATCTCTCTTGTCTGCCTGTGTCTCTTCCTAAGTCAGGTTTCATAAAAAAAGTAATCACCGGGCTCATAGTACCCAAGTGGTCCAGGCATACCCCTGCTTAACCCAGAGCTGCTGGCTGCCCGAGATGAATGCAGGCTACGCAGATGGTTTATGAGAAGTGACACTTGCTTCCCAGTTTCTTGTATTCGCCACCGAGCAGTTAATGTGAAAGCCCACAGTGGACGTGACTGCTGGAAATACTGCGGGGCAGGGCAGGGCGCTGGTGCTTCATGAGCACGTGAGCAGGACGTTCAGAGGCAGCCCGAGACACCCCATGATCCGGGACTGCGGCAAATGGGTGTGGGAATGGAAAGAAGGGAGGGTCACTTCATCCCTGTCCTTGCTTCTCATCCGCCCCAGCATGTCGTCCTCGCGGGGCAGGGTGAGGTCGCCCGAGAATCTGCAAATTCATCGCTGCCTTTCATCTCCTATAACCTTCCGTCCCGAGGAGGACAGCCTGGACCTTCCCTTCCAGCTCAAAGCTGCTGCTAAGGCGGGTCTGACTTCTCCCCTAAAAAGGCTCCGATTCCCCTTCCCGCCGCAGGGGTCCAGTCTTGGCTTAGACTTCGCTTCTCACTGCTCGCCCTGCAGTCTGGGGCTGCGCGCAAGTCTCGCCAAGTTTCCCCATCCAGACCCGAGAGACTGCTCCTTTCTAGGACAATGTGAACAAAGAGGAGCAGGGAGAGGGGCCCGCGGGCGGTTGCGGGGTGAATGTGAATGTGTGGTGGGGAACCTCCTCCGGGACCCGTGCAGAGCGCACCTAGCCTGGCACCGCAGTGCCCCTTGCGGCTCCGGGCGGCGGGTTGCTTTGTCCCGGCCCGGCAGGGCGCGGTGGCCGTGGGTCGCGAGCAGAATCCCGAGGCCGGCTCTGGAGCCCAGGCTTCCACGTTGTCTCGCGGCCGTAGTGGGGACACTGGACTTGCTTCTCCTTACTCGAGCTCGCCTCGAGTAGCTTGGTCTGGGGACAGAGGGACCCACTGGAGCGCTCTCCTCCCTGACTCTCCGCGGACGCGCGCAGGTCCAATTCCGGAACCGAGGCGCGTCTTGGGCGCCCCCGCCGCCTGCGTCGCAGCCCCCGGGACCGCGCGGGTAGGACCTGAACAGCGCCCACCGGAGATGCCCGCCGGAAAGGCCGTTCAAAACCGACTCGGAGGCCCCACCTGCGTGTGTGCGTGTGCGTGTGCGTGTGCGCGCGCAATAGGGGTTGGGGGTTTCGTCCGCTCGCTCTTCTCACCTGCATTACTGTTTGCTTGGCAGAGTATTGAAGGAGAAACTGCTATGTCAATTCAATGTCATTAAATCAGCACCCATCCCTCCAAACTCTATCAACTAAGTTGTATTTTTCATGTATCATTAGAGTCCACGCGAAACTACTTTCCCACTCCTGCCTGAACCTTCATCACTGCGCCGAGCCAGGTTTCGGGGTCCAGGCTCCAGTTCCGCAGGAGAACTTAGAGTCTCAGGACTTGCATCCGCTGCCTCTCTCTGGGCATCTTTGTAACGCGGGGTGGTCCCGGTGGTCGCGTCCGTCTGGCTGCGCTGGGCCTGCCACTGCGCGTCGGGAAAGGGCAGGCGCTAGGACCACGGGACGCGCGGGCAGCACGGCGCTACCTTAAACCCGGCCCAATGCCGCCGCTGCGCCACTCTGCGCGCCGGCCGGGCTGCGCAGGAGGAGCGCTCCGCCCGTCACTAGGCTGGAGCCCGCGCGGCAACACCTGTTCGCGGCCGCAGGGCGCACGCGATCGGTGGACACGGCTCTCTCGCTCGCCTCCGGCTGTCTGCGCTGAACCAATGGACCTCCGCCGAGCCGCCGCACGATTCCGGATTCCAGCTTTGGACGCCTAAAGTTTTTGTTTTTTGTTTTATATTATTATTATTATTGTTTTGTTTTGGAGGGGGGATCGGGAGGGGAGAGTCTTCAGCGCCACCAACGTGAGAT